GGATATAGAGAGGGAGACATGTTGATGAAGGAGATAGAGAGGGGATACTTGTTGATGTAGGGGATATAGAGAGGGAGACATGTTGATGTAGGAGGTAGAGAGGGGAGACATTTTGATGTTGGTGATATAGAAAGGGAGACATTTTGATGTAGGGGATATAAATGAGAGAAATGTTGATGTAGGGGATATAGAGAGGGTGACATGTTGATGTAGGGGAAAGAGAGGGGAGACATTTTGATGTAGGTGATATAGAGAGGGAGACATCTTGATGTAGGGGATATAGAGAGGGAGACATGTTGCTGTAGGAGATAGAGAGGGAGACATGTTGATGTACGGTATATAGAGAGGGAGACATGTTGATGTAGGAGATAGAGAAGGGAGAAATGTTGATGTAGGCGATATGGAGAGGGAGACATGTTGATATAGGAGATAGAGAGGGAAACATGTTGATGTAGGGGATATAGAGAGGGAGACATGTTGCTGTAGGAGATAGAGAGGGAGACATGTTGATGTACGGTATATAGAGAGGGAGACATGTTGATGTAGGAGATAGAGAGGGGAAACATTTTGATGTAGGTGATATCGAGAGGGAGACATGTTGATGTAGGAGATAGAGAGGGAAACATGTTGATGTAGGGGATATAGAGAGGGTGACATGTTGATGTAGGTGAAAGAGAGGGTAGACATTTTGATGTAGGTGATATAGAGAGGGAGACATCTTGATGTAGGGGATATAGAGAGGGAGACATGTTGATGAAGGAGTTAGAGAGGGGATACTTGTTGATGTAGGGGATATAGAGAGGGAGCCATGTTGATGTAGGAGATAGAGAGGGAGACATGTTGATGTAGGGGATATAGAAAGGGAGACATGTTGATGAAGGAGATAGAGAAGGGAGAAATGTTGATGTAGGGGATATAGAGAGGGAGACATGTTGATGTAGGAGATAGAGAAGGGAGAAATGTTGATGTAGGCGATATGGAGAGGGAGACATGTTGATATAGGAGATAGAGAGGGAAACATGTTGATGTAGGGGATATAGAGAGGGTGACATGTTGATGTAGGGGATAAAGAGAGGGAGACATGTTGATGTAGGAGATAGAGAGGGGAGACATTTTGATGTTGGTGATATAGAAAGGGAGACATTTTGATGTAGGGGATATAAAGGAGAGAAATGTTGATGTAGGGGATATAGAGAGGGAGACATGTTGATGTAGGGGATAAAGAGAGGGAGACATGTTGATGTAGGAGATAGAGAGGGGAAACATTTTGATGTAGGTGATATAGAGAGGGAGACATGTTGATGTAGGAGATTGAGAGGAGAGACATGTTGATGTAGGGGATAACGAGAGGGAGACATGTTGATGTAAGAGATAGAGAGGGGAAACATTGTGATGTAGGTGATATAGAGAGGGAGACATGTTGTTGAAGGAGATAGAGAAGGGAGAAATGTTGATGTAGGGGATATAGAGAGGGAGACATGTTGTTGAAGGAGATAGAGAGGGGATACATGTTGATGTAGGAGATAGAGAGGGAAGACATGTTGATGTAGGTAATATACAGAGGAGACATGTTGATGTAGGAGATAGAGAGGGTAGACATGTTGATGTAAGGGATATAGAGAGGGAGACATGTTGATATAGGGGATATAGAGAGGGAGACATATTGATGTAGTTGATAGAGAGGGAGACATGTTGATGTAGGTGATAGAGAGGGAGACATATTGATGTAGGTGATAGAGAGGGGAGACATGTTGATGTAGGAGATAGAGAGGGAAGACATGTTGATGTAGGTGATAGAGAGGTAGACATGTTGATTTAAGGTTGATGTGGTGTATTGATGTAGGCCCGTGACGTTATTTTTGTTGGTGGTAGTGAGAATGGTAATGTCGAACTTTTCAACATCGACTTTGTATTAAGATAAGTTTAAAACGAAATAAAAATATGGATGAATGTTAATTTAATCTGTGAAACACGGTTACTTAGATCTAAAACCCCGGGCGGTACACCGCTGATTTAGATAAGAACGTAGGCATGGCAAATCACTTTCTACGGTTTACCATAGTAATATTGATGAGATATGTACAAATGTACTCCCTATCTTGATAAGCCCGAGCTCATGAGAAGGTTCAAAGTAGTGTAGTAAATGGTTTTATGTCTTCCAGATGAAAACTAATATTTTGTTTATGCTCATCTTTTCAATTTTTATTGCCGATGGCGTTTTTACATGGCCTTGAGAATATTCCGTTACACGTGCAGCTACAGATTTAGGACGCTCTGCGATGACCTTTCATGATCAGAGTACACCGCTCTTGCTCTGCCAATATGATCCACTCAATTCTGTGAAATATTGGCAAAGCCACGTAAATATTAAAGTGGATATCAGTGAACTAGAGCAACGTTCCTCGTACTGAATCCACATAAATAGTATCGTTGACATCGGGAATTAATCAAACACGACCGAAACTAATACCTTAGTCATTTATTATTTACTGCTTTTGTTTCTACAGAAATAGACACAAGTTCAGACAAAATAGATTTCAAGGATTTACAAAGGAGACGATCAGGTACAGTTGAGGTATATCCTACCACGAGCTCTCCGCCGAGGGATGAAGTAATAAAGGTACGCTGTGACCCTACAATATCTGTAATGGGTAAAGTGGGTGTGGCGTTCACGTTAACCACGGATCAGACTTAAACAAGATCAGAGTGAAATCAGTTTCAAATAATATTCATTAAGAATCAATCCTTCAGCAGCGGGGTGTTAGGAAATAGGGACAACCCATACAAAACGAGGTTATATGTTATATGACAACATAACCCATTTAAAATACTGTTTTCGTTTAATTTACGCATTCAACGCCATGGTTTACTAAAATTGGTAACATACGAAATTCATTATGTAATTAGAAGTGGCAGGTTGAAATCACCAAGACGATACCTATGGAATCAGAAGAGGTCGGCATATTCTCCTCATCTTGTTGTTACGTCATCCTATACTCATACCGTGACAACGTGAGGCAGCATCACATGGTCTACTTCTGGCAGGTACGATTTATTACTTTTTTTTGATAATAATAAAGGTTTATATTACAAAACATTACATTTTCGCTTTTAACCATTAGTCTGTTTTTATAAAGTTCGCATTGTTTTCCTTTACTTACATAGCTTCTACTTCATGAAGTTCTATACTACCAACTCAATAAACACTACTACCATACCTCTACAGCTATAGCGTCCCGACTTAATCGGCCTTTATATTTAATGCACTGCTATTTTACCACTTTACAATATCCTATAATCACCAAAGCCTTTTCGATGATGAATACCCGTAGGTCCCTCAAACTGCTGTCTGCTGTGTTAAAAGTCTCGGGACGATAAATCTAGATTCAACTCTATATCACTAGCATATTACTCTATCGTCTCCCAGAATTATGGGATTTCGTCAAGCCATGCATAGCATGCCTCATTTCACAGTGCTGTTCCTGGACAATCCTGTTTGATGCCCAGCATGGTATCAGTATCAAATTTTGATTTGGTCAACATAATGCACGAAATACAGCTCTGTTTACATTGAGGAGTTTCCTTGCTTATGGTTCTCCGATTAATGTGCATAATAATCTGTCTTACACTTGGTTAAAATATTAAACACATAAAAAACTCTTTCATTCCTTTCTCCTGTCCATCTTCCGAAACTGACTCGCTGATAAACTCTCCCGAATCACCCCTCTCCTAAGGGGGCGTTTGAGATTTGATCATTGTCTTTGAAAAGACCGCTTCTCACGTTCACTTTGATGCTATGATGAATGTTTTAACTAATATTGTGAATTTGTCAAACTCTCCTCTACAATTTTTATTCTAAAGCCGTCATTAATAAACCGTTTATAAAACGGTGCTAGTATTTAATACTCTCAACCTCTCATCCCATTTCCTAATGTAGGCCCATGCAAAGGTTTCCCTGTAAGCGGGAGCTTTGCTATACCCTCACCTGTATGTAATGCTTACCGTTGAAACCGAAGTTGTTGCCCTTTGTTCTGGCCTATGGATCAACCTTTGAATATGACTCCATTCCTTCTACCCCTGGCACTAAAGTATATAACCTACACGGCTGTTTTACCAGTTGGAACCATGTAAGAAGGTTAAGACCACTAATGCCAACAGGACTGTACTGGAGATGGTCCAAGTGGAGAACAACGCCTTTGTGTTCAACAGTAAGAATTACACAAAGATTGAGGGTATATCGCTTGGCTAACAGGCTAACGTGGAATATGGCCACGTGGTACATGAAATTTTGACAAATTAACCAAACTACCTTAAAGCATTCATCTGGACTTCAAAGTAGAAATCATCTCTCTGTTGAGCTATCGGATATCCTTGCCAAAATCGAAGATGGATGCAGTAGTTGCATAACTACGGACATTTATTTCCAAACCCACTCACATACACATCTGTCCATGAAAGGTTTCAAATCACCCAGCTCATATGAATAAAGCAATACCATATGGCCTTGGAATCCGACTCAAAAGAATTTGTCAGAATGAGGAGACGTATCAAAAACAGGGATCCAATCTCAAACATCAACTAAGGAAAGGGGTATTCAGGGGAGGTAATCGAGAATCAATTACAGAAGATAGACAGAGAAGAAAGGTAGCAACTGTTTGATTAGTTCCTCTGGTTCAGACACAGTCAACATTCTGCATTAGTATAAGACAGATACTCAGGAGACACCTGGCCATGCTACACAAGTTGGACAGATGTTGAAGGTATTCAGAGGAAAAAGACCCGGTCTTGTGCTTAAAAAAGATACGTAAGAACGAATCGGATAAGTGGGAACCATAAGTGAGGAAGTTCCTAAATGTACGAATAGCCATAGTTCATGTACGCTGTTGGTCATCCCAGTGTTGATACTGAGTATAAATAGATAAAAGGGAGGTCTACGTTGTCGAGGAGCAATACTGTGATGCGGAATGTTTAGTGTTGTTTGTTCCAAACGTAAGACGACAATATACAATATAACAAAAACAGAGCAAGAATTCAGGAAGGGGATGAGAGAGCATGTGAGGGAATTACGACTAAATCTAAATAAGTCGATGGCCTACCACTTGAATTCAGCAGATCACAGATTGAAGGAGATGTTGGTAGTGTCCTATCAAAGAGGGCCAGACGAGCTAAAATATATATCAAAAGATATTTTGAATATGATATTATATCAAGTATATCATACAAATCAATAATATCGTAGCAATTAATATTATCGTTCCACTATTTGTATCATACTAAACAAAATATCATACCAGTCAACGATAGCAATCAATAATATCTATTGTTTGGTTAAATAATATCTGGTCCAAATCAGTATTATTGTACAAATAATTAGCATCATTGCATCAACGTTCATGATTGCCCTTACAGATACAGAATCAAGCTCATTATACAAATAACCGATTCGTATTCTAAAACTAATGGTAATAGCATTTAGAGGAGGTAGAAAAGCATCTTATCAATAGCTATTTTAACTCTTGTCTGCTTTAATAAAATTTCTATTTTACCCCCCTATCCTGTATATTCTGTTATCCCATCTGGTGAGGCCACCTTGGTGGTGCATCGCTAAATTTACAGAACAGATCTCCCTCTATCGACAACTTATCTATCGAAATGCTATCCGTTACGATAACAAGTTATTGGCAACTTTACACTTCCTGAATCCACGCCTGTTCCTTCAGTCAAACTTACACCCCGGCACTATCTATCTAAGCTGAATGTTAGGTCATGTCAGCTTACGATTACATACCAGCATTATCTGTTTCTGACGTTCAGCAATGTGATCATTTATACCTAATAATCCTGACGTAATCATTAATCCTGTCTGAAGTTGATGAATTATTCTAAAATTTGCTGATAATCTGTCATTTGTGCGACAATGGCGATGTGTCCTTTACTTATGTAGGGGTTGCGGAGTAGTTTGGATGTGAAGGGAGCCTCTGCCATCATGGCTCAGAGGATAGACGATCAGGAGGCGGCCGGCGGCGCTCTCCAGGTCATGTGCAATGAGCATTATTTGGAAACATGTTAGTCTAAATAAAAGATAAAAATATGTTTAACAAATAAAAAACGATTTCGTTTTAATGGTATTTCTGTCTGATACATTGTATATTTGTTCACAGTTTTATGGAAGCCATTTGTATAATGAGCATGTGTTCTGACTACAGATACGAGTACTGGAGGGTAAGGAGCCGCCCATGTTTCTCCACATGTTAACTGGTCGGATGGTTGTGTTTATGGTAAAGTTATTTTTTCTACTAAATTCAATAAAAGTCTGCTAAGCGGTTTAAATTTAATATGCTAATTATTGACTTATTAATGACCTTTATACAACTTCATCTAGTTGAAGTAAATACATAATTACTTAATACCGTAATGTTTTAAAGATTTAAAATTTCCAGGTAATTGGACTACACATATATATGTAATAACGCTGTATATGTTGTTCCCGGTAATTGGACTACACATATATATGTAATAACGGTGTATATGTTGTTCCCGGTAATTGGACTACACATATATATAATAACGTTGTATATGTTGTTCCCGGTAATTGGACTACACATATATATGTAATATCGCTGTATCTGTTGTTCCCGGTAATTGGATTACACATATATATATTATAACGCTGTATATGATGTTCCCGGTAATTGGATTACACATATATATATTATAACGCTGTATATGTTGTTCCCGGTAATTGGATTACACATATATATATTATAACGCTGTATATGTTGTTCCCGGTAATTGGACTACGCATATATATGTAATAACGCTGTATCTGTTGTTCCCGGTAATTTGATTACACATATATATATTATAACGCTGTATATGTTGTTCCCGGTAATTGGATTACACATATATATATTATAACGCTGTATATGATGTTCCCGGTAATTGGATTACACATATATATATTATAACGCTGTATATGATGTTCCCGGTAATTGGATTACACATATATATATTATAACGCTGTATATGATGTTCCCGGTAATTGGATTACACATATATATATTATAACGCTGTATATGTTGTTCCCGGTAATTGGACTACACCTTTATATGTTATAACGCTGTATATGTTGTTCCCGGTAATTAAACTACACATATTTATGTTATAACGCTGTGTATGTTGTTCTCGGTAATTGGACTACACCTTTATATGTTATAACGCTGTATATGTTGTTCCCGGTAATTGGACTACACATATTTATGTTATAACGCTGTGTATGTTGTTCTCGGTAATTGGACTACACCTTTATATGTTATAACGCTGTATATGTTGTTCCCGGTAATTGGACTACACATAT